ATATATATATACATATACAGTTGGTTCTGTTTCTCTGGAAAATTCGGACAAAAATATATTGTAATTATGTGTTTCTCTTTCTTATACCAGATGGTGAGCCTCAAAAGCAAAGATATTTTATTCACCATTGTACTCCTAGATCCTAGAGCAGTAGTTGTTACATCATAGATCCTCAGGTAATACTTCTGGTTCTTATAAAACATATCTGGGGTCATATTCTGTTATTCATATATTTTAGATACAGCTGGCACATATTTAGATACATATTTAGAAATATTAATTATCCCTTAAACTAATCATAAGCCCCAATTCATGATAAGTAACATTAACCATTTTGGGGAGGTAAGTTTTTCGATCCACAAAAAAAACTACTTTTTCTTATGTTTCTTTTTTCCTTTTGGCAAAATGCAAAATATCTACTTTTCCCACACCTATAACAATTTATGCCTTACTATAAAATATAATTAAATTACTGCTCAACACACATAATATTTCCTCGGCCAGATTTGTGCATATGCTGTGACGTTGATTCTGCGCCTGATATATGCTGTGGTCACCATCCAAGTTTCAGGCATGAGAAAGAGTCTGGAGAGGCTCCTGCTGGGTATTCTCCCAGGAATTCTCTGTAAAGATTGCTCATCCTGTTAAAATTTTCACTTGTGCATGAGTGTCAGAGTTACCACAGGCTAAATTCATATAAATTGCTTTTCTAAAATGAGTTTCAAAGTTGAAATGAACATTAAAGTCTCGGTCTTTGCTTCAGAGCCTTAACATTCTTAAGAAAGAAAAACCTGAAACCTACAGGAGGTTCCTTGGTTATTTATTATTTCAATTGACAGCTCTCCACGAGTCCAGCAGGTAGATTAATCAGTTCAAAGCAAACATATGCCACTTTCAGAAACTCATGCTCATAATATTGCTTTCCATATTTTAATTTTAAGATGTGAAATTTCAAGGTATTATTATTAGGTTAAAATTTTATATCTTTTCACTTAGATTTGGAAACTTAGTACTGTACTCTGTGCTGTTAATGCTTTCAGCTTACCACTTCAAGCTGCCTTAAAATATCTACTATCTCTATTGCCCTCAGATCATCTTCATTACATTTATGTCTCCAATTTTATTTTTTTCAAATTTTACCACTTGTCTAAAGTCATTTTTGAAGCGAAGGATACAAAACAAAAGCTGAGTTTCATTAGTTACATGACATTATTTGAAGCCTCTAGATGTTTTTGTGGAAATCTAGTGCAAAAATTTTCAAGTGGTCATCCCACAGCAGGGCACAGATCCAAAAATACTATCTACTTGCCATCTACTTACAATCTATGTATCGTCTCTGCGAAGAGCAGTACCCTGGAGTGGTACAACAGATTATTACACAGCTTTACATTATCAATTGCTTTATTTTTGCTGTCTCTTTGGAGTGGAGAGAGATGTGTTGTAGTGATGGTTCTCTAAGAGACAATGGCCTGACAGCATCACTGTCTGGAAGATCAGAGCCTTCTTACCTGAGCTGTGGTTTCCTGCCAACAAGGTGGGGCTCACAGAGCATCTTCCCATTCGACTGGTGACCACTGGCGGGCCTGGGGTTCCGTCCCATTCCTGAGCTTTGACAGGCTCTCTGCAGGAAGCCGCCCCGTGGTGCCCTCTCTCTTTGCTGTCCGACTTTGGTAATGGCTCTGTGCTGTGGCTTCGGACTTTCAGCTCCTCTGTGGACTCTGTATGGTAACCAAAGTACCTTCTGTTAAACAAAAGTCAGATCCATCCCCCATTTTTTAAATTACAGAATGATCTTCTAAAATGCTTTCAATATATTGTTGGAAACTTAGACTTGTGTTGGAGATGAAACATTTAAATACAACAGAGATATAGATGCCATGGAACCATTTATTTTTCCTGAGGGGTATAAGTTAATATCACCAGTGGGAATACATGTTTTTCTTTGGAAAAAGAGTCCTTGGATAAATATATTTAGTAACTCTTCCCTTGTGTGCATCTTTAGGGAATTTCTTAAAGGGAACTTTACACCTACTCTCTTTACACCTTTCATTCACTTTATAACCTACTATACCATGACTTCAGCCCAACCACTCTACCAAAAGCATTACTGATAAGGTCACATTATGCCTTTTAAGTGACACAGTCAAAAGATATTTTTCAGCCATTGACAGTTCTTCTGTTACTTATTCTTTGTATGTTCCATTCTTTGGTCTTCCTGTGTCTGGTACTGTGTCTAACACCTTTGCTGGGTCATTGTACCTTCTCTTTTTCCATACATCCCTTACACATTGGTTGTATCTTCGGCACTAGCTCAGGTACCACCCTTGTTTTCTATACACTCTTCCAGTGACTTTAGCCAGCAGTCATCTGATTGATGGTAATGTTTAAGTGATCGTTCAGAAGCGTGGGCCATTATTTTAGCTGTAGATGAATTCACTTAGCAAACAACTGGATGAATTAATCTGGAAGCCCCCTGAATATTAAAAATTCAACATTCTGATACTGAACAGATATTTATTTTTCCCTAACTGATGATTTTTCCTGTCCTTCCAAACAGGCTAGAAGCTTGTCTCTCCTGATATAGTGATAAGAAGACGATGTATTTCTAAACATCTTGCAGTCCCTTCTCCCCTAGTTGGGATCATGTCTGCCTAAACTCTTCTGGTTCAAACTCTAATCATCTCCCTTGAATTAGTGCAATGTGTCTCTGCCCCTTTAGTCCCCAAGTACAAGCTCCTGGCACTGCCAAGCATTGCTGTGTAAAATGCAAATCTCATCATAACATACGCCTGACTAAAGTCCTTCAAGGAAACCTCAGGTTATCTCAGAACCATGTTTAAGATCCTTACCAGGTCCCCACAAATCTCCAGTGTCTCACTGTTGCCTTTACCCATAGCCTTGTTATTTTCTATTGATCTCTATATCCAAGAAACGGTATTAAAAGGATTATGGCTTCTGTTTCCATACTTGCGCCCCAAGAAAAACAATGATATCAACTACAACTACTACCTCCATGCTCTAAATGTCCTTCAGTCTTATCTTCTCTCAACTTCTTCCAATCACCCTGGTTACACTGTTTAAAACCTCCTCACTCTCATCACCATCTCTGCCCTGTCCTTGTGTTCTGTTATCTGTGTGTGTGTGTGCCTGCTCCCCAAATCCCTGAATTATTTAAGGGCAGGTGGTGGACTTTTCATTTTTCTCTGTATTTATAAAAATGTAGTATCCTTAGCACCTAGAATATTAATAGTGATTCCACTAAATTAATTTATTAACTTTAACTGCTCTGACATCTTTTTGATATGTGTAAAAAGTGCAATATTTCTAATTGAAGAAAGAATCAAGTACATGTACCAAAGGGACCCTGAGCTGATAGTATTTTGAAGTCTCTACTTACAGAGCAGTCACAAGCTTTCAAAGTGACAAAGTTAGAAGTTTAATTCAAATACGAAATGATTGAGAAATACTAAAATATTAAAAAAAAACTAATGATTTAAAGCATTTTTAATTTTGTCTGTTTTCATTTAGGTTCAAATAGTGATCAGCTTTCAGCAGGGTGCTGATACAAATGCCATCCTTTGGTTCCATTGATTAGATCTGTGGGACGAAGAATGGGTTGTGACATATTTTCTTTCTTTCCTTCCTTCTTTCTTTCTTTTGTTTGTTTTTTAAGACAGCATCTCACTCTGTAGTTGAGACTGATCTGGAACTCACTATGTAGCCCAGGCTGGTCTCGAACTCACAGCAATCCTGCCTCAGCCTCCCTAGTTCTAGGATTACAGGCATGCACCACCATGCCTGGCTACCTCATTTTTTTCTTAAGTATAAAATGGAGATAACACTGGCTCTGCCTAAATTTCTCATTTTTATTTGAGAAATTTAATGATAGTCTACATTTTAAAATATTTTGGAAAATATAAAAGTGCCAAACAAGTAAAATAATACTCATTCAAATAAGTAGTAGCCCTTTACCCTTCATGAATTAATTTAATATTTATTCATTTAAACTGAATAATGACATAAGAGACTATATGTACAAATGGAAATTTCCCAAATCACATATAAAAATAGGACCCTCAAGCCATTATCTACAATAACTATCCCAGCAAGCTAGTCTTCTAAATATCAGTCACACTTACAGGAAGCCAACCGCTATCTTTACTACTAATTCAGGTGTGATCAAAAATACAACAAATGCTACTGCCTATTGTCATCCAGTTGAAAGGCAAGCTTACAAAAACATGACAGCGTGACCTCATCCACCTTATTCACCTGAGCTGCCACTGTGCTACTTTCGGCTCCCCCCACCAAATCCCAATGGCCAAGAAAAGAAAGGAAAACATTTACAGTCAATTGAAGACATCAAGGCTTCAACAAGCACAACTGAAGACATGAAAGAGGACCTCCAGGACAGCTTCAGAATGTGGCAAGAACAGTGAGATGAGGGATTTAATGGCAGTGTGTTTTTTACTGTGATAATTTTTGAACTTTAAAGCTCTTTAAATTTAGTTTTTTAAATCTGATCATTCATTTCTCATCATAGTACATGACTGGCCTAAGGAGTCTGCTACTTGTTAGAAGAATATAGTCTAATCAGGTTAAAGTTCACTTACATGCTAAGCTAGATTGTATGGAGGCAGTAACTTCAGGCCACATTTGGTTTAATTTTTTTTCCACTTTGCTTTCCTATCCTTCTGCTTTCCTCTGAGCCTCTACCAAATGCAAGTTCTGAATAACAGCCTTTGCCTGTTCTCATTTGTCTGGTCTTTTTACTTTCACATTGCTGTCGTCTCTTCTAGCTCTAAGACGCTGTGCGGTTAAGTCTATATGTGTCACCAATAGAATTCTATGAGATGAACAAACGTACAAACCAGAAGAGTAGTCCCACAACAATCTCAGGCAGATTGGGCCTTTAAATGGGCCTGTTTATAAACTTAAATCTCAGTTACAATGGAATCAAATATAAGAAGTCAAGATATTTTCAAGATGATACATTCCAGGATAATCCTCTGAGCAGCCAATTTAGCCAACCGTTGCTTTGCAGTGCCCTGAGACAAGAGGAATGAAACCCACAGCAGAAAAGAGCATCAGAGACAATTCCCAAGCTATTTATTCACAGTTTCAAATAAAATGTAACTCTGGCTTCCAAATGTCACAGCCTCAAAGCTTAATAGCCCATCTGTTTTACCCCACTTCCTCTTCCACGTTTTAACAAAACCACTGGGATGCTGGCTTTATCATCTGCGTTTTCTTCTATTACCGACATTAAGACTTTGTTTTTCCTTGTGTCCTTCTTTCTTCTGTTTTTAAACTTGTCCTTTTCACCTAAAATGTACACATAGACTCAATGAAAGAAAAAAATACTTATCCTGCACCCGAATTAGAAGTAGCCTAAGGAAAAAAATATGCTCTGATTTTACTCTGGATCTGTGATTGTTCTTGCAGATTCAGATATTCGTTTAAATATGAAAGGCTGAGCTTTGTGTCAAGGAATTTCCACCAATATCAGTGTTTTTGTTCTCATACAGATTATTCCTCCTGCAGTATCAGGAGAGCCTCATTTAGGTTTTGGACCACAACTACATGAGTACCAGTATGTTTTTGAAAACAAAGAACATTTCTTCCCTTTTCTTTTTGCTTTGTTTTCCAATGCCAAGAGTTAGTCCTCAGTGGATTTTGGTAGGTCTGTTTAGAGAAAGTTAAACAAAAGGACTGAAGAATTTGCATTACTCAGACTTGTACCTAAGTACCTTCATATCTGCCACCTAAACAAAATGCAGAACTAAGAAATCTTTAAGAAAATCATAGATGTATTGCTGAGTAGTTCACATATGAAACCAGATTTATTCCCAAATGGAATACATAGAAATCTGTCCTCCAAATATATACACACCCTAGAGGATGCCTTATATTGCAGAAAAAACACTAAACTGTGCACTCTTTCAGAAGAAATTAAAATTGCATGTACAGCAATCTCAATGACCAAGGTTACCCAAAGACCAGTTTGCTGTAGTAATAAATGTCTGAGAGCTAGTGGCCACCACTTTGAGCACCTCTTGTAATTGTAGAGGCCAAAGATAACTTGTATTAATCTCACGATGTCTCAACAAATTCAGTACTAAAATATTTATACAATTTTCTCTTTTCCTGAAGTGAGTGTACATTTTTTTGGCAGACTCTATATATTCAAGAACCATTTCCTAACCAAATGTATTTTCTAATTAAAATATATGTATGAATCTCTAAGATAGCTGTTGAAAAGATCCAAATGGGAAGTAGACAATCAGGGTAAGAAATATTAAAAGATCAGAGAAATCTAATCAGGAATAAGGACATAATTATCTATGTCCACATATTTCAACTATCTTTTACAAAAATCAGTTGAAAACAAAATGAGTTTAGCAACATAAACTTTCCGTGACAATCAACATTACGTGCTGCAGTACATTTTTCTGGGGAGCTAAGCTTTTCAGTATTCATAGTCACCACACTCTGTGCCAAGTACATAGAAGGTGGTCTCCGTGCAAGATTCATTGAATGAATGACGGAGTCAATGTTGATTATTGCTCTAAAATCCTATTCTAACAATTAAATCCAAGCTCACATTGAGTTCTTGTTGAGAAAAATGCATGTATTATTACATTTCATTTTCAGACTCTGTGTTTAGAGTGTCATTTCTTAAACTTTTTTTTCAGTATTTAAGCCAAAAAAAAAAAAA